CACACACACACACACACACACGTCTACACAGGGGCGCGCGTCAATTAGCCCTAGAGCTTCGCTTACCTGCTCTGCCAATTGGTGTAAGAGCAAGAGAAAGTCCACAGAGCAGCCAAAAGGACATCTCCATTCCAGCTGCGCGAATACAGGAGGGGGAAGGGCAAGAGTGAGGGCGGGAGAGCTTCCTCCAAGGCGCAAAACACTGCTTCCACCTCCAGGAGTCGCGAAGATTCCAACTCAGGTAACTGATCTGCCCTTCTTTATGCGGAGCTACCCTCTTTGGCCCCACATTTCTCTGAAGATGTGCCCCATGACTCTTCCTTCCCAGGCTCCTTTATGGAATCCAGCTCCAGGAACTCTGTCTGCCAGCAGAGAGGTCAGACCTGGAGGCGTGGAGGGGAGAGGTGGAGGTAAAATGTCAGCAGGAGTGAAGTTACTGAGTGTCATCTTCTCACATCTGCAGACCGCAGAATAGGGGTCCAACGCCCCAGAAAGGCTCGGGGCCCCACTTCAGACCCTGCGCATCCCCATACAAGCCACCAACCCCGGAGGCCCCGCGAGGGTCCCGGCCTGTGCACCCGGAAAAGCCTCGCCAACGCGAGCACCACCTCCTTCCCCACCCTCTCTGCCTCCAGGGGCTTTCTCCCCTTTGGAATCCGCAGGAGCTCGGATACTGGCTCTCTTGGGAGAAGGCAGCTCTGGCCTACCTGGCAAAGGGAGGTGGGAAAAGACAGAGCAACAAGAAACCTCAAAGGCAGGCGCAGACTCCGCTTCTTCGCCCCCAGACGGAATCAGCTCGCCCCCAGGTCGCCCCGGCCAGTTGGGACACCAGGTTCTCTCTCTTAAGTGCCCGCACATTTCTGCCACCCGGTCTCCTGCTTCACCTGTCCTGCCGGCAATGGTTGAACCAGCTAAATACCCATCCGCGCCTGGCTCAGCCACAGGTTCTCCAACAAGTGTCTTACCTGCCTACCCAGTTTGCAGCTTCTGCTGAGTTCACGGAAAGTAGAAAAGCCCTTACAGGTCCCAGGGCCGTGTCACGCATTCCCATGCCCGGGTAGTTCCTCACCTCCAGCGGGAGAGTAGGAAGGAACAGGCATCACAGGAGAAGTGTATTGAGAGGCTTTTCTCTACTCTTTAGGCAGCTGAGAGTCCTTTATCAACAGAAATGGTTACTTACATCTGTTCGCATTTGTTTGTAGAAACAAATTTATTCTTATGAAGTCTTCTGTGACCAGTGATTGCATGTCCTAACTTGACCTAAACTGGAACGCCCAACAAGTGGGGTGAGATCCCAGAGCATGTGAGAGATATTATGAATCTGCCTGAGTCACGGTCTTCACTGCCTTATGACAGATGCTCCCAAGGCCACCCTGTGCCACTAGGAATGTAAAAAGGGCTCCTGTAAAAAAAAAACACAAAACAAAACAAAAAAAAAAAAACCAATAAAACCTTGGGGATAGGATAGTAGCAACAGGGACAGACCTGTCACCAAGTCATCAAGGGACACCCAGGTAGAATCCAGTGGCTCAGAAAAAAAGAAGTGAAAAGTAATCTCCATTCAACAGGTAGAGTCTTGGTCGAGCTATTTCTGCTCCTGTTTATGTGTTTCTAGTGGCTTCATCGGGGGAGCAGTTACTGCTAACCCAATGTTGGTACCTCTCTGGCAGTTAGTTCAGTGCCACCAGCATCTCCAAGGGAGAGAGATGAGCAATCTCTTCCCACGTGGTTTAAAGCCTCTGAGAAGCACTGGACGGACAGCGGTGAGCAGGTTCCACTCCACGACAATGACAGTCGTGAATGAGTTGTGGGGCCGGGGAATATGAGGAGCATCCACAGGAAGCCGCAGAGTGCTTGATTGACCTCTAAAACTTCCTATGACAAGCTAGAAGCCAGCTGCTTGACATTTTTATATTCTCAGAAATGATTTAGCATTCCAAGTGCTTATATGTATTGGGGTTTATTATAGTAGAAATCAAACCAGAAAAAAATGCTGAACCTTGATTATTTTGCTGTAAATATTATGTGAGATTAATAAAATATCATTTTATCATTATTTTCTTATTTCCATTAAATAACAAGCTCTTTAGATATTAGCAGACATGTCATACATGTTTATAAAAAAATGGAGGTCTTGCTCTGTGTATGTGGAAATGTCTTTGATTTCTCCCTCTGTGGAAGACTGCTCTCGTTCCCAGGGAGTTGCACTGGTAACTCAAAGGCAGGACGTCTCTGGCAGCTTGAATCCACCAGTAAGTCCAAGGGAGTGTGCTGGACAGTCTCCTTTCTTGCAATTTACTGTCTCCAAAAATCTGCTGAGGGTCAGTTATGACTTGGTTAGGATCAGGCAACAGTGAGTTTGAGTTAATGGAAAATGGGGTCTTAGATTTACTTCTGCATCTGATTTCTTATGTCATGCTAGCTCTAAAATCCACCACTATACACTCGTGGGAGAATATGAATGAAAAAGACAAAGAATATCTTACTATTGTAATAAATTGGAAGCAGAAGTGGCATCCACTTCCTAAATAACATGCCTCCAGAAACTCTATGAGTTTTGATAAATATCGATAGTTACAGAAAGGCTTCATGCCTTTTGTTTATAGGGTCACTATGAGTCGTGCTTGACTCGAAGGCAGTTAACAACAACAACAACATTATGATAATTACAATAATTACAGAAAAGGAGATATGGTGGCATAATCCATAGAGAGACTGCTAAACCAATCATTGCAACTCTAGTGGTTTGAATCCACTGTTCCACTGTTGACTCAGAGAGAAAAAAAGACCATCTCCTCTGGTTTAATTTACAGACTTGGAAACCCAGTGGTGGTTCAGCGAGGAGCTGGTTCCAACTTAATGGCAACAACAAGTTGAGCTGATTGCTATAAAATTAATTTTGATCTTTTTTAAATGGAGCCAGAACCCTCAAGGCTCCCACACTGTAAAGACTTTTTTTGTTAAATTGTAAGTGATTTAAAGAAAAATATGAGTCAAAATTGACTCAACATGACATATGTTTGGTTAAGTAACACCAACACAGGACCCTGGGTGTCCCAGGGGATTTGTGACCAGCTGCTAATTTAAATGGTTTGCAGTTCACACCCATTACAACCAAGAAATCCCAAGGAGCAGTGCCACTTTATAAGGCCTGGGACTGCCATGGGCCAGGAACAACTCTGACAATAACTGCTTGGTTTTTCAGTAATAATAGCATTATAATCAGGTTTCTGCATACACATACACCTCCCAGGGTTTATGTGCCCACTCAACACAAGACAAAAGTGTTGCTACAAAAACCATCAAGTGATTCCTTTATCAAACCAGAGAACAATGGTCATGAGCAAGGATGTATGTAATTCATAAATCTTGATTGAAGACAAATTATACTATCTTGCTCTTTATTTCCCCCAGTGCTACAAAAACCATCAAATGATTCCTTTATCAAACCAGAGAACAATGGTCATGAGCAAGGATGTATGTAATTCATAAATCTTGATTGAAGACAAATTATGCTATCTTGCTCTTTATTTTCCCCCAGTTTCCTCCTCTCAAATAAATGCATTTGTGTCCTTCCTAGTCTCTACAGTTTAAAGATTGGCATGTGTGCTATATCTAATCGATAACAAGTATTAAGACAGAGTCATCACAATTCTCTCTGCAGTTCTTAAGGCATGTGCAAAGGCATTTTACCTTCCAATTAGGGCTGCAAGCATGAAACTTAGACTTCCCGGGATTGTTCACAAGGCCAAACATGTTTCCTTAAACATGGAGAATGAGCCGCTTGGCAGAACTGATGGGAAGATCTGTAATTAAAAACAGGAAACATAACAATTTACTGCTTGTTCTCAATAATCTTTAAAAGTGGGAGCAACATAGTAGTATTATTTTGCTAATGAGCGAAAGGAAGGAAAAGATTAAAATAAAATTTATTTACAGAACTCCCAGAAGGGCATTCTTAGGTTTGTTTTATTAGTCAAGAGCAATGCTGCTCTATGCTGAAAAGCTCCTTGATTGACTGATTTCTTTTTCCTTTCTATTTTTCTATTTTAAAATTGTGTATGGCCACCAGAGCTGCCTATAGAAATAGATAAGTGCTAAATAACTCAACTGTGTTGTAAGATGTACATGCAAAACTCAACCTATAAACAACAACTATATATCTTTTATATATCCCTCCTATTCCCCACATTCACTATCCTGAAATTGGCACTCAATATATATGTGCCTTATTATATGTATTCCTTAAGCAATATAAGGTATTCTTGTGCTGTTGTTGTAGTTATGTGCCATTGAGTCATTCGCAACTCATAGCGACCCTATATAAAATAGCCCTGAAACCTGCTCTATTCTGTGCCAAGCTTATTGCCTCAGACACACCTACCCTCATTATGCCAGTCACTGAATAAATCCATCTTATTGAGGGTCTTCCTCTCT